GAACATATACCAAGACAGACCATATTCTGCGCCACAGAACAAACCTCAACAAATGTAAAATAACTGAAATCACACAGAATGTGTTCTCAAACTACAATGGAATCAAACTAGAAATCAATAATGGAAAGAAAACCAGAAAATATCCAAACACTTGGAAACTAAGCAACACAATTCTAAATAATCCATAGGCCAAAGAGGAAATCCCAGGGAAAATTTTTTTAAATACACTGAATTAAATGAAAATGAAAATACAACAGCTCAAAATTTATGGAACACAGCTAATGAAGTGCTAAGAGGGAAACCTGTAACACTAAATGTATACATTACAAAAGAGAAAATTCTCAAATCAAATCATCTAAGCTCCCATCTCAAGAACCTAAAGAGCCAAATAGACAAAGCAAGCATGAAGAAAGAAATAATAAAATAAAATAGAAAATAGGAAAAAAACAACAAAACAAAGAGCAGGCTCTGTGAAAAGATCAATGAAATTAACAAGAAAGACTGATAAAGAAAAAGAGAAGATACAACTGATCAATATGATGACTGAAACAGGAAATATCACTGCACAGCCTACAGACATCAAAAGGATAGTAAGGGAATACTATAACCATTCGACACACAAATTTGATAACCTAAGTGAAATGGACCACTTCTTCATAAAACACAAACCACCATAATTCACCCAGTATAAAACATTATTTGAATATCTCTATAACTATTAAGAAAATTGAATTTAAGACTTATTAAATAGCTGAAGTAATCAAAACTATATGGTACTGGCAGAGGGACAGACACATAGATCAATGGAACAGATACACAGCCCAGAAAAAGATCCACATAAACATGCCCAACCGATTTTTTTTAATGCAAAAGCAATTCAGTACAGAAAAAAAAAAAAGGGAAAAGTGAAAAATTAAACTTCATAAAAATTTTAAATGCTTGATCTGCAGAAGACTCTGTTAAGAGGATGAAAAGACAAGCTAAGACTGGGAGAAGATATTTGCAAACTACGTATCTGACAAAGGACTAATATCTGGAATATATAAAGAACTCTCCAACTCAACAGTTTAAGACAAACAATCTCATTAGAAAATAGGCAAAAGACATGAATAGACATTTCACCCAAGATGATACAAAGATGACAAATAAGCACATAAAATTATTTTCAACATCATTAGCCACTAGGAAACTGCAAATTAAAACCACAATGAGATATCATTACACATCTATCAGAATGGATAAAGTATTAATAAAACAATAGAGACGACACCAAATGCCAATAAGGATGCAGAAAAACTGGATCACTCACACAACGCTGGTGGGAATGTAAAATGGTACACTATTCTGGAAAACAGTTTGTCTCTTAATAAGCATGCAACTACTATGTACTACCACATGACCCAGCAATTGCACTCCTGGGCATTTATCTCAAAGAAATGAAGACTTTTTTGTTCACACAAAAGCCTGTACATGAAAGTTTATAGCAGCTTTATTTATAACAGCCAAAAACTAGAAACAACTCAGATGTCCTTCAAATGAGTGACTGATCAAACTGTGGTACAGCCATACCATGGAATATAATTCAGCAATAAAAAGGAACAAACAATTGATACATCCAACAACTTGGATAAATCTCCAGAGAATTATGCTGAGTAAAAAATGCCAATCACAAAAGGTTACATACTATATGATTCCATTCATATAACATACTCAAAATGAGAAAATTATATTAATGGAGAACACACTAGTTGTTGCCAGAGATTAAGGAGGGGTTAGGGCAGGAGGGAACTATAAAAGACAACATGAGGAGTCTTTATGGTGATAGGACTGTTATATATCTTAACTGCATCAATATCCATATCCTGTTGGGATATTGTATTATAGCTTTGCAAGATGGAACATTGCGGGGAAGCAGGTAAACATTATACAGGCGCTCTCTTATGACTCCATATGAATCTAATTATCTCAAAATAAAAAGTTTAATAAGAAAAACAACTTTATACATTCATTTTATCTGCAACTTACATTATAAACAACAAATATACACACTATACGCACAAACATACAAAGAGAGAATGAGATAAAGCAAGTGCTGCGAAATGCTAACAATTGGTGATTCTAGGTGTACCAGTTCCTCAACTTTTCTGTAAGTCTGAAGGTTTTCAAAACAAAACACTGAAGGAAAATAGTCTCTAGTTTCTTCAGACTTCCTCTGATTTCCTATTTTACCTTTTTTTTTAGGTCATGCCACGTGACTTGCAGGATGCTAGTTTCCCGACCAGGGATCGAATCCGTGCCCCCTGCAGTGGAAGCGTGGAGTCCTAACCACTGGACCACCAGGGAATTCCCTGATTTCCTATTTTAAATGCTCCATATCAAGATTATCTCTATCTGGCTGAACGCTGTGATTCCCTAAGTACCCATGGCCTGGAGGAAAAGGCAACAAACCATGTAGTAGTGGCCTTTGAGGTCTGATCTGACGGAGATGAAAAAATATCCTGACAATTGGAGATAGTGCATATTATATGGTAAAATGTAATCACTTAGTTTTTACTGTGGGAAAAACATTATTATCACTCTGCTCAGCATATTTGGAAAGCATGCAGTTTCATGACTGTCAATATGAAGGAAATTGGTTTTTTGATTTTCTTTTTTAAAGCATGAATTTGTTTATTTTTCTCAAGTTAAAAGGTCACCTGGGTGACACTGCTCCACCATGAGGCAACTCTAAAAACTACTTTTAGGTGTTCTGAGAAAGGTAACAGAGGTGTGTCTATCTATAGGCAAGAGCACTGGTTCTGGAGTTGCCTGGGTTCAAGTCACTGACTGGCTGTAAGAACTGTCTGGGCCTCAGTGAAAAATGGTGATAATAATAGGATTAGTGTGGGGCTTTCTTTGAGGATTTAATGGTACAAGGAAAGCAAAGAGCTTAGCACAAAGCAAGAGCTCAACGTATTTTTGCATTATTATTAGAATTTAAAATTATTTCACTAAGGCAAAACAGCTAAAAGTATATTTTATAAGAACAATCATTCAGGAAATTATTTTAAAGTTAATATTTACCTCACACTGTTTTAGAATCATATGAAATAATGCCTATAAAAGTTATTAAATTGTAACTTTATAGCATTATAAAAATCATGTAAATATAGGAATTTTGCTTAGAGACAGCATGATATAGTGGAATGAATATGACACTGAAAATCAGAAGACTCAGACTTCTGACTCTACCACTTACTGGCTATGTGACCTCAGGATAGTACTGAAACTGTCTCAAATTTTTCCTTTTCAAAAATGAGGATATATACCCTGTGTGATAGGACTGTAGAGATTAAAGTAGAAAATCTACATAAGAATATTTCATAAAATTAAAGTACTTGTGACATCAACGAATACAAGCCTTCACATTTCCTGCATGAAACGTCATTAATTAAATTCAATCTGCCAAATTTTACAGGAAAAATCTCTGAAGCTAATATAAATGATTAAGAAAAATTAGGGGATTGAAAAAAAAATGGTGCTGGGACTTCTCCGGCAGCCCAGTGGTTAAGACTCTGCGCTCCCAATGCAGGGGGCCCAGGTTCGATCCTTGGTCAGGGAACTAGATCCCACATGCCACAACTAAGAGACAGCATGCTGCAACTTTAAAGATCCTGCGTGCCACAACTAAGGCCTGGAGCAGCCAAATAAATACATTTTTAAATGTGGCCACTGAAACTGAAATTTCTAATATATCTTTAAATAAAAGTCAAATGCATATATTTAAAATATTTCCTGGGACTTCCCTTGTGGTTAAGACTCTGTGCTCCCAATGCAGGGGCCACGGGTTCAATCCCTGGTCGGGAAAGTAAGATCCTGCATGCCGCACAGCGCGGTTAAAAAAAAGTGTACCTGCCAGGAAATATTTTAAATATATGCATTTGACTTTTAATTTGTATGTATTTTTATTTCCCTAAAGGCTTCTACCGAGTTTTAGGTAGTCTTTTATTTGCAGTCCTGAACCTTTCTAATGTTTTTCTATGCAAGACAGAGAAATGTGCCACTTAGAAAAGTTAGGTCAAAATGCCTTGCTTGCTCTAAATGTCTTTAGCAAAGACATTCTTTTTTTTTTTTTTTTTTTGCGGTACGCAGGCCTCTCACTGTTGTGGCCTCTCTCGTTGCGGAGCAACAGGCTCCGGACGCGCAGGCTCAGCGGCCATGGCTCACGGGCACAGCCGCTCCACGGCATGTGGGATCTTCCCGGACCGGGGCCCGAACTCGTGTACCCTGCATCGGCAGGCGGACTCTCAACCACTGCGCCACCAGGGAAGCCCAGCAAAGACATTCTTGAATCTGGGTAATTGGCATGGTTACCTCTCCCTTCCCTAACACATCTGTGCTTCCTCTGTTCTTAGAAATGGGAGTACGTATCTCCCTATCACTCAGGTACAAAACCTCCTCCCTCCTAAAGTCTCAGATCTATTCTGTCTTTGAGTCCTAGTGAGTCTTCCTTCTCAGCGTCCTTCCTTTTCCTACCCCTACTGCCATTACCATTAGCTTAGGCTTTCATTACCTTCTGCCTCTCATTTCCTTGCTTCTAGTCTCTCTGTTCTGACAATCCATCCTGCTCATCAGTGCTAAATTAAATATCCTAAAATCCTGCTTTTACTGTTCCCTCTTCAAAGACTTTCCCCAAAGTACAAAATCCTCAACCTGGAGTAAAAGCAGAGCTTTGAAGCTGAATAATAAGTCACCAGAATATCTAGAAGTATAGTCTTTACTGCCATAGGCTGAGGACCTGCCGCCAATGAAGCCCCAGCACAGGAGAGGGCTAACACTGAGTTCACTGGGATCTATGTCCATTCAAAAGGGTCACAAAGCTAACAGAGGCTCAAATTTAAAAAAGGGGCAAAAACTCAGACATTATTTTTATTTATTTAAAGTGCACAAGAAATTTTTAGAATTGATACCTGAAACAAGCAATAATGGGAAAGTGTTTCTTAAAATCAGAGAGAACCTACCTGGTAAAGGCAGGCTGCTGTTCCAAGGAAAAATGCAACAATGTAATTAAAATCCTCGCCATCACTCTGCAAAAACAAAATAAAAATTACTTTTTTTTTTCCAGTGCAAGCCCATTTCCAAAAACAATCCATTGGGATAGGATACGACAACATTTATGCACAAATGGTCAAAATTTTCAAAAGTGGCATATAAAAATTCTCAAGAGTCCTGAAATAGAAACATAAAATACATTATAAGAACCAGGGAGTGTGAGGTAGAGGAAGGCTACCAGTCTTCCTCTATGTCTGGGCCTCTCCATCAATTATATCTTATCCAAGAGAAGATGAAAGCCAATGGAAACAAATTTCCATGTAACGTAGAAAGCCTCTCTTCTTGCTACTAAAGAAACCAAATAAAAATGTACAACACCCCAGGGACTTCCCTGGTGGCGCAGTGGTTTAAGAATCCTCCTGCCAGTGCAGGGGACATGGGTTTGATCCCTGGTCCGGGAAGATCCCACATGCTGAGGAGCAACTAAGCCCATGTGCCACAACTACTGAGCCTGCGCTCTAAGAGCCTGCGAGCCACAACTATTGAGCCCACGTGCCACAACTACTGAAGCCCGCGTGCCTACAGCCCGTGCTCCGCAACAAGAGAAGCCACTGCAATGAGAAGCCCATGCACCACAATGAAGAGTAGTCCCCGCTCGCCACAGCTAGAGAAAGCCTGCATGCAGCAACGGAGACCCAACACAGACAAAAATAAATTAATTAATTAATTGAAAAAAAAAAAAAGTACAACACCCCAGTGGCCTATAAAGTTAAGCCTGCTTGATAGGATTACTATTTGGCTCAAATAAATATTGACAAACTTTACCATCTAGTAAGCACATTACTGAACTGTCCAATAAAGTCTCTGGCATGATTTAAAAAAAAAAAAAAAAAAAGACAACCCAAACTGAAAAGCTACTGTCCACTAGAGTGTGCTATATCCCAATGAGGAAATTCAGTTGTACATGATATGCTAGAAAAAAAAGCACCCAGAGGAAAAACAGAGATAGATTATTCATAGAATATTTCTTTTAAAAGAAAACTAATAGAGACATGTAACAAACCCTTTTTTTCTATTCCTTTCTGATTCTTCTTAAATATCTATATCATTTCTTTCAATGTTTTTATGAAGTAGAACATAAAGCCCACGCAGGAGCATCAAATTTCTTTCTTCTAGGTAGAAACATTAAATTTGGCCCTTATTTTAGAGAAAAAATCTCTTTATACAATAAAAATTTCCAGAAGACATGGGAGTGTCTCTCACGACCATGTCTTCAGGAAATAATATAAAGAGAAAATTGCTTTTCCATTTGCTATTGGACAACAGAAGTGCCTGTAAGGCAGAGGGAGAGGGGCTTATTCTAGTGAGAGGATCTTAAAATAGAAACCATTAATCTGTCTGGGATGGTTAGGCCAGTTCAATCCCAGAGGCGGGGAAGGTCAACACAAAACCCTTCTACTTTAATAATTCTAAGACTTTTAAATAAGTTCTGCTTGATTGTTTTTTCTTCAGTCCATTAAATGATCTTTTTTGATTATAAAAGTTCATGTTCATTGTAGAGAATCTGAAACAGAATGTTACAAAGAAGAAACTCGTATAGTCCATAATATCACAACTTTGGGAGAATTACTATTAACCACTTAGGTACTCCTTCCAATCCTTTCTGTACAAAAATATATGTACGTTAAAAAAATGGAATCATACTTTTACATACTGCTTTCTAGTACTTCACACTATATCATAAACATGTTCTCAAGATACTAAATATTTCTCAACTACTTAATTTGTAATAATTATATAACCTTTAATTGTGGGACTATATAGTAATTTAATTACTGTCTTACAATTGAATACTGTATTTTCCCTAAATTTACACTATCACTTTATAACTCTCTTAATTGCCTTTGGAACACTTAAAAGCATGTTTCTGGATAATCAGATCTGGGTTCAAATCTTTACTTATTAGCTATATGATCATGGACTATTTATTTAACTTCAATTCCCTTTTTTGAAAATAAAAGTTGTAGAGATTCAATGAAATAACATTGGCAAAAATATAGAACAGTAACTGACACACAGTAAGTATTCAAAAACATTCTCTAACTTCTCTTTCCCAGAGGTTACTGTCTGCATCATTCATCAGATAATTAGGATTACCTTTCAATATTGTTTAAATCTCTAATGTACTGGCCTTGTCTTCTCAATGAGATCCTAACCTTCCTTCAGGGCAGAAATTAAATCTTACTACTTGCATGAAACTGTGCACATAGTAGGAATTCAACAAATGCATGCCAAATTGAGTTCAGCTTTGAAAAATCTTTATTTCCCCTTGCTAAAGAGAATATCTATAAACATATTCTTCCATTCAATAAATAGTCATTCATTAAACACTTATGGGCCAAGTACTGTGTTACTAGACCAAGGACAGAAAACAAGTCAACAGCTACTCAAGAAGCTCAACTCTAAACAGGAAGGCAGATACAAAGAGCAACAATTCCCACCTGAAGTGGTAACTGATGGGATAGGAGTGTGTACAGGGTACTACGGGAGCCTACTGGAGACACATTTAATTCTACCTGGAGAAAAAAAGGATCAGGGAAGGTTTGGCACAGAAAATAAAGCTTAATTTGCATTTTGAAGGATGGACTAGTAGACAAGGTAGGAAGAGAATTCCAGGCAAAGGGAGTAGCTTGTGCAGTTTCAAGAAGGAAGACGCTAGGATGACTCCAAGGTCTCCTATTCAGGCAACATTTAAATGATACCATTCACCAAGTTGGGGATATAGGAGGAAAAGTAGGTCTGAGAGCAGAAAAAACTTGAGTTCATTTTGGACAAGGTATTTTGGAGTTGCTAGTGACACATCCAAATAATTATGTTTAGTAGACATTTAAGTCAGCTTCAGGGAACAGTTTAACTAGAGCTCTAGTTTAGTTGCCATATATTTAAATAGTAGTTAAATGAAATAAAGGACTATGACAACCAAATGCAAAGCTTAATTCTTGATTGGCTGATAGACTGGAGAGAGAAAAAAGTATATATAAAGGATATTCGGGGTCAATTTTGAATTGTGAAATTTGAATATAGATTTTATATTAGCTAATACTGCACTGATCTTCAGTGTCTTTGGTGTAAGAATGGTATTGTGATTATGCAGGAGAATGTCCTAGTCCTTAAGACAGACATATTGAATAATTTTGGAATATAATGTCATAATACCTACAATTTTACTTTCCAATGATTCAGAAAAAAAAGAAAATAAAGAGATAAAAGAAGAAAGGTAGGTATGTATACAGGTAGATGTTAATTGTATTGTTTTTTTAAAAACTTTCTGTAGGTTTAAATTCTTTCAAAATAAAATGTTGTGTGGTGGGGGAAAACAGGGATACAAATGAAAATAAAAATGCTATGCAGTCACTAAAAAGGATCTCTATATACTGCTATGAAATGATCTACACATTGTCAGGTGGAAAAAGATGCAAATCACTATGAACAGTATACTGCCATTTATAAAGGAATAATTTTAAAGGAATAATTATATAAGTAAATATAGAAATACATATGTATTAGCATATGCACATAATCGCTCTAGAAGGATACACCAGTGGTTGACTCTGGGGAGGAGAAATGGGAAGAGAATTACTTACTGTGAAAATTAAAGGCTTTGAAATTTACCATCTACACATTTTACTGTGTGTATGCGTGACTGTGGATATTTGTCGATATACATGTATTAGCTCTTTAAGTTATGAAAATATCCAAAGAGAAGGTATAGAGTTAGAAGAATATAAAGCTCAGGACATGACACAAACGCTACTATTTATAGGAGAGGTGGAGGAAGAAAATTTACCAAATAAACTGAGGAACAAGAAGAGATAGGAAAAAAATACAACAGGAGAAAATTGTTTCACAGAACTGAAGGAATGAGATAATGTCAAGAAGAATAAAGTAACACATCAAACTATTAATAGTGAGCTGTTTCACTTGCTTCTAAGTTTTCTAAAATAAACATTATTTTTGAATTTAAACAATGAGTTATTTTCAAAAGGAAGAACTGAACAGTGTGTGAGATGAGACAGAGAGGAAACATCAAACAAGGCCTCAAGAGTGGCTGCAATATTTGGCAACCAGAAAGACACTGGTGAACTTAATGGTCGATGTTTGAAAGAATTATGAGGGCGGAAAGAGATCACAGTAAACTAAGAGAACAGAGGTAAGGGAACGGGGGCAACAGGCATAGTCTATGCTTTCAAAATATTAGAAGGGAACATGCATCAAGAGGTTTTTTTTAGGGTTTTTTGTTCGTTTTTTAAAGATCAGCAGGCTATAACATATTTATGAGCTGAGAGAACAGAGCCAGTAGAGAGGAAGCAGATGAAAAACAGATGAATAGCTAGAGGTTGGCGAAACATGGGGCAGAGATTTAGAGAATGGACAGAAGTGGGAGTGGGGTGGGTGCAGGGTCGACACGAGAAGGGATAAAGGTGGGGTGGGGAAGGAAGGGCTAAGGTAAGGAGTTCAAATTTTTAAAAATCACATTCACTTTCAGAGGATGCTAGATTACCAACATTGCTTGAAAAATAACAAATAAAGGGAAAGAATTTTTTTTTAAGGTGATGATAAAGAGGTAAGCAGAAGCTTCATATAATAGCCATACAAATGTATTAGAACGATACTATTTAAATGTTTGTAATAATTGGGAAAAATTCACTGTTTAATCTTAGGTGAAAAAAAGGACACAAAGTTACATAATGGATATGATATGTATATATATGGTATATATTAATAAAATAAGAACATTTGGGATTTTTCTTTTCTTCTTTATACATTTTCCCCCAATTCTTTAACAATGAGCATAGAACTCAGGAAAAATACATTTTTTTTTAGAAGAAAGCAAGCAATGCATCTTAGCATAGATATTACGCTACTAAATAAATCCAAACTTCCAGTGAGCTTTAATAGGTATGTAATTTCTTTAAAAGGTAGCAACAAATCTACTGGAAATAAAGAACTCAAGGAATAAAAGCAAGCTGATTAC